CTCAACTTGTTGCTGGGCAGGTTAAAACGTATCAAACGTATCTACATGCATTTCTACAGCGTCTCCATTGAAGTCTATTGAACCAAAAATTTTGCGTCTAAAAAAGTCCCTGACCTTTTCCAAAAAACGCACTGGGTAAAAACACGGAGATGTCCCATAGGAAATCATGTTAAATGAACTGTACTGCGTTTCTGTAAAATGCAAAACGCACAGGTACAGTGAAGGAAATAAGTATTTAATCCCCTGCTAATTTTGAATGTTCACCCACTCAAAAAGAAATGATCAGTCTAAAAATCGAATGGTAGGTGTATTGTAACACTGAGAGCCAGAAAAGCAACAAAAAATTCAAAAGAAATGCATGTCTAACAAATTATGCACTGATTTTGCATGTTCATGAGAGAAATAAGTATTTGATCCCCTATCATTCAGCAGGAGTTCTTGCTACCAGGTGTCTTTCAGTCTCTTAAAGAGAGTGCTGCTAATCTCATTTTTATTACCTGTATAAAAGACCCCTGTCCAAAAATGGCAAAGACCAGAGAGCTGACACCTGTCCACAGGAGCAATAAAACAATCAGATTCCAAACTCTCCAGCATGGCAAGGACAAAGAGCTGTCCAAGGACGTCAGGAAAAGATTGTTAGACCTACACAAGGCTGGACTGGGCTACCAACGCGATCACACCATAGCAGCTTGGTGACAACGTCCACTTTTAGGGACGTCAGGCATTTTTTTTTACAGCTTCCAAACGCCCCTCCATGGTATCCTATGTGTCCAGGCACGCATAGACGTTTAGAAGCTTTTAGTGACAGGGCTTTTAGGAGCTTTAAAAAACCCCACTGCCAGTGCATTCAGGAGCAGTAGTTTATTGACAGAAAGAAACGCATGATGTGTGTAAACGCACCTAAACGCGTGTTAACGCTAGGCACAATTAGCCCTTGAGATTTAATTAAATTTAGTGACCAGAATAAATTATTATTCTGGCCAGTGAAATGAATTAACACCCAAGAGCTTGATGCCTGTAAACGCGCCTAAACACTTTAGCATTAGAAACTTTTTCAAGCGTCAGGTGTTTTTTCTGCCACAACGCCAGTGCCAATGAACGTTTTTAAAACGTTCTGTGCGCATGAGGCCTCAGTCAGTGAATGGTCAGATGAGAAAATTGATTAAGATGGGAAATCAGAAATCAGTTGATCAGATTGTAATGTGTGTGTGTGCAGACTGAGCTGTAGAATTTTAAACACTGTCATTTGGGCCTCTTTGTTCTCAGCTTCCTCAGGTTTATTTCCTTTGAAGTAGAACTATAAGCAAACCTTTTTTTTTTCCATTTTGAATAGAGTAAGGGAGGGTCGTAACCCCTGTAAGGTTTATTTTTGCCATCTTTGTCCAATTTGGGAGATTTCCTTTCACTTCCTGTCCCATAGCCATACAGGAAGTGAGAGGAAATCCCTGCAAATTAAGGGATCTCATGGGGACCCCCAGGTCACCAGAACTAGTGTCCCCATTGGAATATTTCCCCTGTATTATTTTTCTGGAGACACCTCAAAATGTAGATTTTCTTTTACTTTCACTTTCAATGATAATGGTAAACAAGATAAAGAGAGAGGGTGCATCTCCTTAACCTCTTGGCGCCGGCCGAACGCAAATTTGCGGCCTCCCAGCGTCTGGGTATAGACACCGAGCTGCCGCACATTTGCGATCTATTAAAAAAAATATTTTTTTTTCGATCCGGACCTTTCCCGATCATGTGACCGCCGTGATAGCGAATCACAGCAGTCACATGACCCTAAAAACCCCGCCCCGCCTCCTGGCAGTTGGCATCGGCGCCAAGGAGGTAATGAAGACCCCGATAGCAATAAAAACTGACAGGGGTTCTAATCCCTCTCCACTCTGTCCAAAACTAAAAAAATAGTTTTGCCTTTAGTTCAGATCATAACTTTCTATAGAAGGTACTTGCCTCAATCCAAAGCACCTAGTGTAATTTCTTGATTTCCTCTCCTCCCTCTGCTATTTGCATAAGTCACTTCTTTTTCATTTATTCTAACGCCAAACAATCCCTGGAGACCCCCAGTACACAGCTAGTGATTGACAGCTTCAGCTGCTGTGCATGTTTCTCTATGAGACTGTGTAGAGGCTGTGTCTATTACCTCCACTCAGGTCTCAGATTACACCAAGCTCCCTGCTTTATGCTGTGCAGTGTGTGATGTCAGATCCCTGTCCCCTGCCTCCTGATGCTCAGAAATGTTGTGTAAAATGTGTGCTTTAGGAGGCTGTAACCTTTTCTCTGCTGTCAGGTACAACTTTTGTAGGAGGATTAATTTCATCTCATTTCTGTGTATCACCTGAGGCCAGTCACTTCACTGGATATATGTAAGGGTTTACAACCATTTTAAAGCTGGACTCCAGGCAGATATGAAAGAAACAAAATAATGCAGCCAAATATTTAGTAATGCAACAATATATTATTTTTAAATGCAAGTAGTGTAAGTACCTGAATTTGACTTGGTATTAGCCTCTTGCAGTCCCTGTACAGCAGAGCTCAGACTGGGGGAGATAGAAACAGCACAAGACGCCAATCAGCTATGCTGCAGCTCAAGAAGCATGCTGATAGGAGGAGAGAGTGGAGTGAACTGTAGCAGGGAAAATCATGTCTCCTGCCCCACCAGATAATACTGTGCTGTGGGGCAGAACTGTGTAAATCTTCTGGCTGGACATAAATGCAAATTCTTTGGCAGGTAAAATCCCACATATAATATTATTATTATACAGGATTTATATAGCGCCAACAGTTTTCTCAGCGCTTTACAATATAAAGGGAGACAATACAGCAACAATACAGTTCAATACAAGAGGGTTAGGGGGGGCCCTGCTCCTTGGAGCTTACAATCTAAGAGGGAGGGGCTAGTGGTACAAAATGTAATAACTGTGGGGGGATGAACTGATGGGAGAAATAAAAGATTTGGTTATTAGCTGAAGGCAGGATAGGCTTCCCTGAAGAGATAGGTTTTCAGAGATCGCCTAAAAATGTGCAGAGTAGTCAGATAGATTTAGGTAGAGAGTTCCAGAGGATGGGGGAGCTCTGGAGAAGCCTTGGAGACAAGCATGGGAGGAGGAGACAAGGGAGCTAGAGAGCAGGAGGTCGTGGGAGGAGCGCAGAGGACGATTGGGGTGATATTTGGGAGAAGATTGGTGATGTAATTTGGGGCAGAGTTATAAATGGCTTTATATGTTATTGTCAATGTTTTGAGTTTTATCCGTTCGGCAATGGGAAGCCAGTGGAGGGATTGGCAGAGAGGGGTGGCAGATACAGAACGATTAGTAAGGTGGATGAGTCTGGCAGCAGCATTCATGATAGACTGAAGAGGGGATAGCCTGCAATTAGGTAGGCCAATGAGGAGGGAGTTACAATAGTAAAGGCAAGAGATAACAAGGGAGGGAATAAGTTGTTTAGTGATCTCCGAGGTTAGGAACGGGCGTATCTTGGAGATGTTGCGGAGGTGAAGTCTACAGGATTTGGACAGTGATTGGATTTGGGGCTGAAAGGACAGATGGGAGTCTAGGATTACACCTAGTACCCTGGCATGAGGGGAGGGACTAATAGTTGTGTTATTCATCTTGATGAAGTCAGGGGAGGGGGCACGGGCTGGAGGGAATACTAAGAGCTTGGTTTTAGAAAGATTGAGTTTGAGGAAGTGGAGTGACATCCATGCTGATATGTCACTTAGTAGGTTAGTAATGCGAGAGGAGACTGAAGGGGTGAGGTGAGGAGTAGAAAGATAGATTTGTGTGTCATCAGCATAGAGATGGTACTTAAAGCCATGGGAGTTTATCAAGTGACCAAGGGAGGAGGAGTAGATGGAGAAGAGAAGGGGTCCAAGGACGGAACCATGAGGGACCCCTACAGAGAGAGGGAGTAGAGTGGAGGAGACAGAGTTATAGGTAACGCTGAACACATACATGTGCATACATGTGTTCCATTTGTATATTCAGCTCTTTGGCCAGAGTTCAGCTTTAATACACATTTATTGTTTTATCTTCCAGTAGATTTTTAATTCTTTTAGGTCAGTTTTGTGATTTACTCTCGTGCCACACAACACGGCAATACAAGTGTATTTCCTAGTTCAGCAAAGCAACTTCCTAGATCACTTGTCTCCCTCCAACCTGCTCATTGGACAGTTAGTGAACATCCTGCCCTCTGATTAGCAAGGATGCCATTAAAGTAGTTGCAAAGAAAGGCTGAAGGTTTTTTTCAGCCTACCCCCCAGCCCCACCTTGTCTTACCTGAGCCCAATCTCAAACCAGGGATCTGCACAAGTGGCACTCCTGACCCTCTCACTTCTCAGACACAGCAGCAGGAGCCAATGACAATTACAGCCAGTAAGGAAGGAGCTGGGGGCAATGTTGATCCCCAATCTGTGTGGGGGCTCTTTCAAGGCACTCAGCAAAGGGGAGGGGCCAGGAGTGCCAGCAGGGGACCTGAGAAGAAGAGGATGGGTCACTTACCTCCAATCATCTATCACGGAGCTCTGTGCTCTAGCTCTGCAGTGTGTGACATCAGATTCCCATCCCCTGCTTTCTAGAGCTGAGAGATGCTGTGTAAAATGTGTGTTTTACAAGGCCGTAGAGAAGAGAGCTTCAGATAAACAGACAACTTATGTAGGAGGATTTGTTTCATCTTTGTCTATTATCTGAGGCTTTGCTGGGTATATGTAAGGGTTTCCAACCACTTTAACCACCTCCCGCCTGCCATATAGTCCAATGACGGGCGCAAGGTGGTTCTCTCATTTTGGGAGGACATCATATGACATCCTCCCATTCTCACCGCACCGCATTCTCATGTGCGGCTCAGGGAGCACGTAGCGCGGCGATCAGCGGTGTGCTGTGTCCCTCGGACACAGCAGATCACCGATCCACGGAAAGAGCCGAAGACGTCGGCTCGGTCATGTGATCAGATGTGTCCAATCACAGCTGATCACATGTAAACAGGGAAATGCCGGTTATCAGCATTTCTCTCCTCTCGAGTTATCATGCTGACAGCTCGTGAGGAGAGGAGAGCCGGTAATCGGCATTCCTCGGAGGGGACATGTACATTGATCATCAGGGCACTGATGATCAGTGTGCCCTGATGACCAGTGTGGCCCCGGAAGTGCCACCTGTCAGTGTCCATCAGTGCCAGCTGTCAGTGCTGAACAGTGCCACGTGCCAGTGCCCATCAGTGCCACATATCAGTGCTTACCAGTGCACATTAATGCCACATGTCAGTGCCCATCTGAGCTGCCTTTCAGTGTCACCCATCAGTGTCAGTCAGTGCCACCTATCAATGCCAATCAGTGCCACCTATCAGTGCAGCCAGTCAGTGCCGCCTATCAGTGCCAGTCAGTGCCGCCTATCAGTGCCAGTCAGTGCCGCCTATCAGTGCCAGTCAGTGCTGCCTATCAGTGCCAGTCAGTGCCGCCTATCAGTGCCGCCTTTCAATGCCCATCAGTGATGCCTGTCAATGCCCATCAGTGCCACCTACCAGTGGCTCCTCACCAGTGCCCATCAGTGCCACCTATCAGTGTCCCATCAGTGCAGCCTATCAGTGCCCATCACTGCAGCCTCATTAGCGCACATCAGTGAAGGAGAAAAATCACTTATTTACAAAATTGTATAACAAAAACTAAGAAAAAACTTTTTTTTTTCCAAAATTTTCAGTGGTTTTTGGTTTGTTTAAGAAAAATAAAAAACCCAGAGGTGATAAAATACCACCAAAATAAAGCTCTGTCTCAAAAAAATGATAAAAATTTCATATGGGTACAGTGTTGCATGACCGCGCAATTGTCATTCAAAGTGTGACAGCGCTGAGAGGTGGAAATTGGCCTGGGCAGGAAGGGGTTATAAGTGCCCTATAGGCTAGCGGTTAAAGATGAATTCCAGACAGATATACAAAAAAAAACAATCAGCAAATAATGCACTTAGGTATTCCTAAATTTAGTTTTAATGCAACAAACATAAGTATCGAACTATGCTTTGGGATTAGCTTTTTTGTAACCCCCTGAACAAGTGCACTGGAAGAGGGATGGCCAGCTCTAGGAGCCAACAAGGCCCTTCTGCATGTGCTTGTTGCCAAGAGGGAACATGCTTACAGCAGAAAAGGATGAACTCAATAGTATACTTAAATCTTTTACCGTCCAGTCACAGACTAGAGGGAGGGAGGTGACCTACTGTATCTCCATTTCTAAACTACAGTAGAGAAAAGTCAAGTTTGCAGTAAGGCTTAAATATAACTGTAGGCAAAACTTTTTTTTTTAGTTTTGGATAGAGTGGAGATTAATTAGAATGCTTGCCAATTTTTTTGCTGTCTGTGCTTCCATTAATGAGATTCAGCCTCTCTTTGTCCTGTTTACCATTATCATTGAAAGTGAACGTAAACGATAATGATAATCCCAAATTTTGGGTTGTCCCCAGAAAAGTAATAGAGGAGCAATGTTCCAATGGGGACACTAGTTCTGGTGACCCAGGGGTCCCCAGGGAATTCCCCTAATTTGCAGGGATTTCCTCTCACTTCCTGTATGGCTATGGGACAGGATGTGAAGGGAAATCTCCCCAATGGGACACAGATGGCAAAAAATAAAATGACAGGGGCTATGACTCTGCCTTACTGTATCCAAAATGAAAAAAACCTTTGCCTATAGTTCCATTATAATGGACACAATACAAAGCAATTGAAAGGTAACATAACTCTGATATACTCTATGTATTTCAACTGCATACTTAGCTGTTTCACTGGTGTTTAGGGTTCTGAAAGGCCTAGTGCCTGATGATTTGTTTAGTGCTCCCCTGTCTGGCCAGGGGCTAAGAAGGCAGAGAACTCATGGCGTCAAGTCCCTCCCCAGGAGTGGCGCCTTGGGGGGCTTTTAGTATCACTATGGGTTTAGGACACCACTGTGAGAAGGAACACCAGGTCACGACCAGGGGCGGACTGACCATTTGGAAACTCGGGCACTGCCCGAGGGCCCGGGGTCGCTAGGGGGCCCCATGAGATGCCCCTGGTACCTTTTTCATAGGCTTTTTTGAGTTTGGGCAAGGACACATGATCCCCTATTGCCCGGGGGGCCCCATGAGTTGTCAGTCCGCCCCTGGCCTCTTGCTTTTTCTGCACCATGCTTCATGGGCTAGCCCTTCTGGACAATTTATGTTACCAGGCTTCAAGGCCAAGCCAATGCACTCACACTGGCCCTTTTTTTTGCATATTTATAGTATTTGTTTATTTTTGTTCTCCACGTGTGCCATCTGCACTTATGTTTGTATCCCCTTTTCACTCAGGATAGAGAGTGTGGGTCCTTGGGCCTACTCTGAAGACTAGGGCAGGATATGTGGCCATCTGGTTCCTTCCTTCCCTGCCTTGGGGAAAGGGGTCTCTCTTTCACAGAGCCCCTCATGTAATAGGATGGCCAGCATTGGCTGACCATAAGTGTTTAGGCCGGCCCTCCTCCATACACACATACAGTTCAGAGTACTTTGGGAACAATGCAAGTCAGACACCTAGATTAACCCTTTCAATGAGGAGCGGGGTCCACCAGGCCTTTTGACTAGGTGGACCTGAGTGTGCCTTACCCCCTGTCAGGAGGGGGTCCTACTTCTTCAGAAGGTGCACCAGAGACACATCCTAAGTGCACTTTTTTGAGTGTGCTTACATGCACTTTATTTATTCACTTACTGGTGTTTAGTTTTCGTGCACCCATTGCGGGTTTAAAAAAAATAAACTTAAACAAAAAAAAATAAAATCTATTGAAGTATTTATTCTTAATTCAAAAATATTGCTCTCAGCCTCCTCCAAATTTCCAGATTCCTTTTTGTTTGCCGCTGTGATCCAACTTCCTGTTAGAGGGTGGTTACCTTTGTTCTCCGTGGTCCCACTGATGCCACCTGTCAGACCTGTAGCATAGTGAGAGTGGCATTTTGCTGGATAGGAAAGGCAGGGGGGTGGGCAGCTGAGACAGTTCCACATTGCATCTTCAGGGCAGGTTGTTCCAGCTGAACCTGGTGTACCTCAACCTATGCTATTCCACAAGCAACAGGTAATTTGCTGGACAGAAGCATCAGACAGAAGCATCAGCAACCAGACCCATACCATACCACCATACTACCTCATTATGTACACTGTGCTGTACATTCCTATACCACACCATCATACTACCTCATTATGTACACTGTGCTGTACATTCCTATACCACACCATCATACTACCTCATTATGTACACTGTGCTGTACATTCCTATACCACAACATCATACTACCTCATTATGTACATTCTATATACCACCTCATTTTTATACTAGGCAAAATATTTTCTTTAGGTTTGGCTTGAGTAGTGAAATATAAAAGGGTTCCAGGGTTTTATTGCTCTTTATGACTCCTCTTGATAGAGTAACCTCCTCCTTCTATTGTCACTTGGACGGATATTGAAGGAAATTCTAAGTCCTTCAATAGGGACACCTGTTACCTTGACAGCTAAAAAAGGGGGTTCTTCTTACTTTGGAGAGATTTTGTTTTTACTTTCTGTTGTTTCTACAGGACATAAGTCCTAAAAAGAGTGGAGGGAAAATCTTCCCAATGGGACACAGACAAATTAAAAAAAAAACAACTGGCAGGGTTTTAACCACTTGCCCTCCAGAGGATTTACCTCCCTTCCTGACCAGGCCATTTTTTGCATTATGGCACTGAGTTATTTTAACTGACAATTGTGCGGTCATGCAATGCTGCACCAAAATTAAATTTATGTCCTTTTTTCCCCATGAATAGTAATTTCTTTCGGTGGTATTTGATTGCCTGTGCGTTTTTTTTATTTTTTTTTCGCTATAAAAAAAAAAAAAAAAAAGACCGACAATTTTGAGAAAAAAGAATATTTTTGACTTTTTGCTATTAAACATGTCCAATAAAAAAATTAAAAAAATCAAATTTCATCCAAAATGTATTCTGCTACATGTCTTTGCTAAAAAAAAAAAACCCCAATTTGTGTAAATTGATTGGTTTACAGGAAAGTGTCTACAAATGGCGGTATATATACTGGGATTTTTTTTTTTCAAATGGCTGACGCGTTTCGGTGGAGGCCAGCAAGGTTCCCATCATCCATCCACTACACATCTGCACCAGAGGCTGGTCAGTAGCTCTGAGGAAAGGGACTCGTCACCGAAACGCGTCAGTCATTTGACCGCACTGACAGTTGGAACACCTTGCTTGCCGTTGTGGCCATCGTTATTATGCAAATGCTTTTTAGATACATGATTCGTCTGTGAGTATGTTTTTACCTTTCATCCCTTTCAATAGACCTTGGATAATGCACTAGGTGTGTGCGCCACCTGTTTATTCTCTATCTAGTGGCTGATTTCCCCATCTGAGGAGGGCTGCTGTCAGGAATGGACTGGCCAGCTATGGTGGGACTCACCTGCCTTTTGATCTGCAGTACTAGGGCTGGCCAGCGGGTGTTCCCAGCAATCAGAGACTCAACTTTGCAGCCAGCTAACACCTGTAACTGATTATGCTGGGGTATTTGAGGGATGGCCAGACCCACAGACTCTGCCTTGGTGTGTGTTTGTCCTGGGCCCTGTATCCTGTTTCTGTCCTGCATCCTGTTTCTGAACCGCTGCTGACTTCTCCTGCTCTGATCCCGGCTCGCTCCTGACCATCCCTCTGTCTGACCCTCTGTACCACGCTGCTTGCTACCTGTTCTGATCCCTGGCTTGTGACCCTGACCAATCTCCGCTTGCTCCCCCTGTACCTACCTGCCCTATTGATATTGACCCGGCCTGCCTGACGACGCTTGCTTGTATGTACTGTTATCTGTGGGTGGTTTGGTTTGGTTTGTTTGCACTGTATTATGTTTTAGTATTGCACTGCGTTTATGTTTGTATTGTTAGTGTTAATAAATTATATTGTTTATAACATATCTGAGGTCTGCGTTTCCCTGCGTCAGTCACACATCTCTGGTCACACCTGGGAGCCCTGACAGCTGCACCCCTGAAGCATTTCCTTTGGCTGTCACTGTCCTGATTCCCTTGGCTTCCTTTTTGGCTGTGCATTTCCTGAGGCGCTGGAGAGTACACACGATATCCGAGTGGTACTGTTTGCATAGTACTGTTCAGCCAGGAGTTGTAATAACTGATCTAACATGGATTTAAAAACTGACATTCAATGATTGCTTCCATCTTCTGATCATATCTTAGTTCTTTAGACTTTAGGAGGGCCGTACTGTGACCAGTGGAAGTAGAAAAGGTCCAGATTTCAGTGGGAAAAAATAATGCCCAATTGTTTCAGTGAGAGTAATTGAGCTTCACTATTGGTGTCATTGGGAAGAATTGTGCCCCATTGTTGGTGTCA